GGAGGGGGTGGGCCGGTGGGGGTTTGAGGTTTCCAGTAATTTACTGAAACTCCAAAGGAGCAGGATACTGCAAACTCCAGACAGCTTCCCTGACATTCTTCAAAAAAATCAAATGCTTTTTGAGCTAGTTACTGGAAAACTCGCAAATTGTTAGGACTATATAAACCTTCACCACACTACAAAACACACCCACTGCTAGTCAAATGCTTATTGAGCTTGTGGGATCTGTGGCAGTAAAACTCTGATTTCCATTTTCCCCTTCTTTTTTGTGTTTGGTTTTGTTTAGTGGTGAGAAACAGGAACTCTATCTGTCAAAAGATTGATGAAGCATAATTGTTATTCCTTCAGGTCTATTTTCAGATAAAGAAATAATTTGATAAAGGTCAAATCAGATAGAATTACAGTCATGAGTCTTAAAATAGCCTTTGTCGATGCCAACTTGCTTCATATTGAAGCGTAGTTGTTGTGTTTTAACATAGTTTTTCTGTGCTCTCCTGATCCATTTGGTCGAAGCTTTTTATTATCATTGCCCCTCACTTGGTAAATCAGCATTTGACCTTCGGCGATTATGATAACTTGCATGATCATAATGCTGTCTTTGAGGACCTTTTTCCATTGACTCGCATCATTTGATTTCATATCGTTTGTCATACAATGTTAACATTTAGGTTTGGTATGATCTGATATTTTCTATCATCTTAACAATCATGTGCCTTGGGTGCTGCAGTGCGCTGGTTTGGGGTTCAAGTGCAAAACACAAACCTCAGAGGGTGGGCAGGGTAAGTACTCTGAACTGCTTGTATTACATTTTATCTACTGGTTTCTTTGTCGCTTGTCCCTTCCTAGATTTTCTGCAATTAGGATGCTGTTCTTTACACTTGTTCTGTACCAGGAACATGAACTAGAAGATGAAGACGTCGTCCAAATCATCAAGAAGGTGTGATTGTAGAACTTGTACTTTGAATGCTGCAGTTGATGCAGATCTCTAGCACTAAAGGGTTTCATCGCATGTTGAGGTTTGTCCTAGATTGCATCCCTTGATTTAGTTGTCCTTTTTCCGGTAGGTAGATCTAGTTTGAACAAAGTAAATCTTGTTGTGCATGTTGTCACGTACAAGCTGTATGGTGAATCTGCGCGTGTGCTGGCTAATCGTCCTCTGTATCATCTAAAGCCTGCCCCAGGGAGCAGTTGGTGATAGTTGAAACTGCAAAAATTTGGTTTGTTTGTTCATACACTGTTGCCTCCAACTGGCGCTAAAATTTTCCATGAGAACTTTAGTGTTTTTGATGATTTTATGTTTGAATCTTTCTTCAAATCTCCATTACATAAACCAGGGCTTTCCATGCGTCGGAAAAAGAATCTAGGAGTAGGAGTTTCCAAATCTCTAGTTTGGCTCCTATCTAATTTGATGCAACCTGTATTAAACTTTCGTCAGATTTCAGAATATTTAGGTAAGCAAATATTTACTAGATTTGAATGCGCCAGAACTCGGTACGACTTTCAAACCTGCCCAATACTACTTCCATTTAATGTATGACCTTCACTTTATGAAGGTTAACTTTGTTAATTTTAAGGGTCTAGCATAAAAACCCAGTCACTCATCGGTAACTGCATTATTTCTCAAAATTAGGTGCACATCACGGGTTCAAATCTTGTGTATTTAAGTGAATGCTGGAGGAACAGGCTCATTTATCCACCAAATTTTGAACCATGCGTCACTGATCCGTGAGATTACTCAGTCATAAAAGAATTACCTAATTGTTTCTCTAATTAAAAGAGTTATATTTGTTTATAAAGGTGGTAGAAGGCTCATATTTAAGAGCAAGTCATTGTTTCGGAGGGGAAAGGAGATCTGAGCACACACTGCAACAGGATCTCAACAATCAACCAAATGTAATGAGTTCTAATTTGCCTATTTGTTTTAATTTTTGAACCTAACTTTAAACGACAACACTTAAAGAGCTCACCTAGGGAAGAAGGAAAATCGTGAAAATGGTCACATTGCATTTAAATTAATCTTTTGAGACGATAAAATTATCCAACTGTGTTTCTCATACACTAAAGGGTCGTTTGGTTTGAGTATGGCTTATGCCGGGATAAGTTATACTGGTATAAGTTATGCTGGGATTGTTTTTTATCCATTGTTTGGTATGTTGTATTAAATATGACAACTGCATAATTTGTAAGAAGAATGTATAAGTTATACAGGTGCTACTTACCCCACCCTCTATAAGGTATAAGTTATCCCGGTGTTAAATTTAATCCTGGGATAACTTATACCTGATTTGCTAACCAAACGAAGTATTAAGGTGATATTAAATTTTTATACCAGCACTATACCTTCTTATACCTCGTACCAAACGACCCCTTATATTGTATTAAAAATGACAATTCCATAATTTCTAAGAAGGTATAAGTTATCCCAGCACTAATTCCCCACTCTAAAAGGTATAAGTTATTCCGCTACTAATTTCAATCCCGGGATAACTTATACCTGGTTTGCTAACCAAACAAAGTATTAAGGTGGTATTAAATTTTTATACCAATCCTATACCTTCTTATGTACAAGGTATAAGAAGGTATACCGCTGGTATACAAATTTAATACCACCATAATACTTCGTTTGGTTAGCAAACCAGGTATAAGTTATCCCGAGATTGAAATTAGTACCGGAATAACTTATACCTTGCAGAGGGTGGGGTAATTAGCACCTGTCTAACTTATACATTCTTCTTACCAATTATGGAATTATCATTTTTAATATATACCAAACAGTGGATAAACAACAATACCAGGATAACTAATCCCAGCATAACTAATGCCAGCATAAACCATATTCAAGCCAAACGACCCCTAAGCATGTTGTATTTATGTTGACTTTGCTCTTCCCCTTAAATTGATTCACTTACCAAAAAAGAGAGAACAAAAAGGTGGTCTCCGTTATTGTGCAAATCCAAAAAATCAACGACGACTGAAATTGTGATTTCCACTTTGCCAAATCTTGGATAACCGTGTAGAATTGGTCAGCTCCAATTCTCTCGTTTGGAGAGGTAAACAAGTAAGAACTCCTATTTCTGAGTGTTTGATTTCAAGTTTTTATTTCCTTAAACAATGTAGAAATGGAAAGGAGTTAATCTGAACCATCTCCATTTTTAAAAATAATAAAATAGAAAATCAATTCCTTTTGGCAAATATTCGCTTTCTGTCTACTTTTTACAAATATCATAACATGTAAAACTATCATTTGAATAATTCGATGAGGGCAATTTCAAAATAAGTGAAATGTATTAGTGAGAGTATGACAAGCATAGTGAGGCAAGAAAATAGCTGCTCCAAAAAAGAAAAAAAAGGAAAAGCTTGATGAATTTTCAATGTTAAAATCTTGGGATCCATCCAATAATGAGAAGATCTTCAATTTAACCATTACGTTCTGATTGTAAAAAGGCTAAAAGCATGTTCCGAAACCAAGTTTTGTTTCAATGGGGGGCGCGTACACTTCCAATCAAGAGGTTGTGAGTTCGAGTCTCCCCAAGAGCAAGGTGAGAAGTTCTTGGAGGGAAGGATGCCAGGAGTCTATTTGAAAACAGCCTCTCTACTCCAGGGTAGGGGTAAGGTATGCGTACACACTACCCTCCCCAGACCCCACTACGTGGGATTATACTGGGTTGTTGTTGTTGTTGTTGTTGGGGCGTGCGCCACCCATTGAATTTATATTTATTTTTTTTAAAAAAATTAACTGATACCTAATTTTTTAATAACTACGTTCTCTTCTTCTTTACTGTTACTTCTTTGTGCTTGAGAAAATTTTCAATTTAACCATTACGTTTTAATTTGTAACAAGACTAAAACTAAGTTTTTGTTCCAAAAGAATCTTAAAGAAAAACTACTTCCAAATTTTGAACAAAACTCCAAAATTATTGTAACATTATTTTCCTTGTAATAATGATTTTTTTAAGTCGGTGTACTAAAGAAACATAGGACAAAAGAATTATAATCACAATCAACATTCACAATTCCTATACTTGACAAGGAGGAGTTTATCATCAAAAGCCACAATACTTTCTACTTCTCAGAAGAGTTTCTTCAAAAACATTAGGGGGAATAAAATTCACCTAAGGAACATTATCATTGTCATTACAGAGAAAGTTAGAAAAATACGCAGAAATCAATCCCATGAGCCTTCAAGCTTTCACACAGCAATTGAAGTAGCTGAAAATGCTTCTTCTTGTCTGTCAAATAAAATTCAAAACATAGGAATGAGAATATCATACTAATATATGCGCAAAACTTATGCAACAATCAATTTTTCAACTCAACAACAACAAACCCAGTGTAATACCACAAGTGGGGTCTGAGGAGGGTAGTATCCCTACCTTGGGAAGGTATAGAGACTGTTGCCGATAAATATTTCAACTCAAGAGACATTAAATCAGCAATATATCAATGTTTTTGTCCACACTTTTTTCCATCTATTTATTTCTCTTGTTTTGATTTTTATTTCAGTTTTCTTCAAGGGTCCATCCGTTGCATGTGCTTTGGAGAAATAGGGATAGATACTTGCTCAAAGAATTTTTGTGGGCAATAAAGGTTGCTTACCAAATAAGGCAAGCATCACTTTCTTGCAACTTGCTTATATTATTCATGTGAGTTTGGCACTTATCCAACCACATGAGAACAGCACTTGTGCCCAATTTAAACCACCATTTAATATATGAACGACATTCAATCAAACAACAACAAACCAAGTGTAAAGGTCAGGGAGGGTAGGTGTGTGTACGCAGAACTTACCCCTATCTTGAGAAGGTAGAGAGGCTGTTTCCGGTAGACCCTCAGCAAAATATGCGCTACTTGAGGTTTGAACCTCTGACCTCTTAGAACAAAATCAGGCACATAATCAACGCACGAGAGACTCCACATTCAATCAAACAAACAAGCTTTATTCCCTTTTGTATCTACTAAAAAGTTTAAGTGGTTTCAATTTTGCAAGTCTAGAACTTCTAATGCATCAAAAAGAAAACAGCATTAAGTGTCATATCAGAAATTGGTTAATGCAAAAACCCTATTAAATATAGCCATCTCACACTAAGCCTTACAACAATTATTACACCTTAGTCCTTCTCACACTAAGTCTTCCCAAAAAAGAACACGGCAAAACAAAAGGCCAATATTTCTATCCTTATTCCAATGTTATAAGTAGCTCATAAGAATTATTAATAAATATTTGGTCGTACAATAATTGTTATTCCATAGTCTGAAAGTTATCATGAGCTTGTATTATTTTAGAAAATGTACTATAGTTATATTAGCAGAATGTAAGGTTGTCAATGCATGAAACCTACTAGTCAGCATTGGTCCCCTCAATGGCCCCACCATATGTATCCCACTAAATACTATTTGTGACACCCTTTTATTAATAACAGCCACTAAATACTATTTGTGACACCCTTTTATTAATAACAGCCAACTACTTGTCTGATCCATGTATTCAATACCATATTAAACAAAAATGGGAAAGTACAAGGGTAAAGAAGACATGCATTTAAAAGAACTTACAGTTGGAGAGTGGTTTTGATGGAAATGGAGATCATCACTGTGGGCTGAGTGATGATGACCTGTATTTGCATTTTTATTAGTTGAAGAAATGAGCTCTTCCTCATTTCCAAGACTTGCTCTTGACAAATCCCTTTTGTTCTGTTTCCTATTCTCTCTTATCTTTGAGAAATCCATAGAGTAATCTGGCATTACACCCTTTTGGTCCCAGTCTCCAAATTGTGGCACTGATAGCCATGGTTCTGTCTTCTGTTAATCCAAAACAATTCTTAATCATTTGCATATCAACAATCATTCTCCTAACTGTTTCTTAAGTTAGTAACTTCAAGAAAATATTTTTTGGCAACCCCACTTAACATTGGCGACTTAACATTGCGTAACTGGTAAAATTGTTGTCATGACCAGGAGGTCACAGGTTTGAGCTGTGGAAACAACCTCTTGCAAAAATGCAGGGTAAGGCTGCGTACAATAGACCCTTGTGGTCTGGCCCTTCTCCGGATCCCGCACATATCGGGAGCTTAGTGTACCGGGCTGCCCTCTAACCCCACTTAACATTATACATTGTCAAAAAGAAAAAAATTCATTAACATGTAAATTTCCAGAGAACTCCAAGATCATTCCTCATAAATGCAACAACAAAGTAGTAACTAAAACACAATCTTGAGTCTTAACTGAGATCTTTTATATACTATGCTTATCTAAGAGGAAGTAATTACATATTCAGAATTTATTGCCACAAAAGGGACAGCAAACTTTTGATCAAGTTACCTAACATTTAGGTACACAATTTTTTGCCTTCCACTTACCTAACATTTTTTAAACTATTTGTGCCAAACAGTGACAGTTCAAAGTCCAAAAGATTGACTAATCTTAAAGTTAAAACAATAGTTCTACAGCTGAGGTTGATCATGACACCAGTAACTAATTGAGAATTTTGATTAAGTCCCCATTTTCCCCTAACCCCCAACATCTTTACCAAATTATATTTTAGTTCACATGATGAATAAACTTGACCACAACGATTTTCTAGTTGGTCTAATACATTCAAGATTCAAAAAAGACAAACACTTTAACCCACAAAAAGAAACCTCATCGCTAAATTCAAAGATGCAGAAGTTTAGACTTCAGATTCATATACTCCCAAAAAAGTACACAAAAACCAAGACATTTAAGAAAAATAAGGGAACAAAAGGCTTTTAAAAATCAAGTTTCAGCAAAGGGTATAGCCTAGTTCATGTGGATAATGCAAAACATGGAATCAAAGTATATGATGAACTTCATTAAAAGAAAACCAAGAAACTGTTTTCCAACTCTGAATTTTCAAGAAAATAATGAAAGTAAAATCAGCAAGAAATAAGCAAAATCAAGAAAGAGCAAACTATGCATATAAAGATAGAAACTTTTTCTCTTTTTTTTTTTTTAAAAAATAAAAAATTCTTTACCTCTTTGCGATCATCCATTCCAGAAACTGAACGGCGATTAACAATACAAACTTGGGTTTGTAAAGTAAACTGAGAACAAAAGAAGGATTTTTGGAGATAAGAAAGCAAGCTATTTGGTAGGAGGAGGAAGCTGGGAAATTTTGCAAAAATACAGGGGCTTTTAGTTTGTGTGCTGTGGATATGTATTGTATCGTTCGTTGTCATAAAAAATAAGATACGTATATAAAGAGATAATAGGAAATAAATAGGGCCTATGATTATATTTAACTACAGAAATGCCATTAGGCTTTCACACGGTTCACACACCTTTCGCAGTTTCGCTAGCCTTTTCCTTTGTCATACTGTATATGAATGACTTTTGCAAGTCTCAATACTAGCCGTGTACACTTGACACGTTTTCTTAAGCAAATGAACAAAACTATTTGGATTTTTTTTCCTCTCTAATTTTTACTTTTTCAGTTTTTTGCAATGGAGCTTGGGCTTCAATAAAATTGTCCACCTATAAGTCATGGGCCCGAACCGTAAAATCACCCATTAATATTTATATTAGGATAGATTATCTCCGTTACATTCCTTAGAGTGTTCCCCTTCTTCGGATCATGCATGAACGCGAAATACTTTATGCAGCAAGTATTTTTTTTTTTAAAAAAAAAAAACTTTTTTGTCAGGGTGAATAGCTGAGTAATGGTGTTAGCAGCCATAGTCATTAACGAGAGAGAATTGAGAAAGATAAAGAATAGATTGAGGGAAAATTGAAAATGCAAATCATGTGCTTTCTATTCGCTGAACACTGTAGATATACAGTAAATTAACTAACAACTAACCACCTAACCATAACTAACTTTTAACTACCTAACTACAATTAAGTTTACTTGCTAACTAAGGCTAGTTTTCAGCTTGTGTCTAGTCTAGCTAACACTCCCCCTCAAGCTGATAATCTAACCAAGTTCTCGACTCCAAGCTGGTTCAGTAAGTGATGATGTTGAGCCTTCCCTAAACTCTTGGTAAACAGATCTGCTAGTTGATCTTCAGTATGAATATGTTTAGTTCGTATCAGTCATTGGCTGTTTCTTTCTCTAACAAAATAACAATCTATGTCGATGTGCTTTGTCCTTTCATGGAATATATGATTAGTTGCTATTTGTATTGCAGCTTTGCTATCTGATATTATCTTCACTGGCATCTGAATGTTCACTCCAAATTCTTTAAACAAGCCTACCAACCATGTGATTTCTATTGCACATGCAGCCATGCTTTTAAACTCAGATTCTGCAGAACTTCTTGAGACAGTGTTCTGCTTCTTGGACTTCCAGGATATCAAGGACCTTCCAAACTTGACTAAGTACCCAGTGACTGATCTTCTTGTTTCTATGCATGCTCCCCAATCAAAGTCACAGTAGGCAGCGAGTTGCTCAGTATGTCCTATAGGCATGATCAATCCCAGACTAGGAGCATCTTTGATATACCTCACTACCCTTAAAGTTGCTTCCATATGAGATGCTTTAGGAGAGTGGATGTATTGACTTAATACCTGCACTTATCAGGCCTAGTCATAGATAGATACAATAGCGTTCCAACCAGTCTTTGGTACCTGCTGGGATCTTCATGTAGCTTATCCCTGGATGATTCCTTATGATTGATACATTCATCATACTTCACTGATGTAAGTTTTTGGTTCAACTCTAGTGGAATATCAGTTGGTTTAGCTGCACCTAGACCTGCCTCAGCAATTGGCTCAAGAGCATACTTTCTTTGACTCATGAAGATGCCCTTATTTGATCTTGCACATTCAATGCCAATGAAGAACTTTAAATCCCCCAGGTCTTTCATCTTGAACCTCTGTTGTAGTTTACACCTAGTATTATTAATCAGACTTAAATTACTACCAGCGATCAATAAGTCATCCACATACACCAAGACTATGACTACATCACCTGCAGTCTTCTTGGTGAATAAGGAATAGCCATAGTGGCTTTGTTCAAATCTCATTAACACCAGAGCTTCAGTCAGTTTCATATTCCACTGCCCAGGAGCCTGTTTGAGACCATATAGAGATTTGTGTAGTTTGCAGACCTTCTGATTCTCCCCTGTCTGGAAAACCCTTCAGGAATTACCATATAGACTTCTTCTAGGAGATCACCATTGAGGAAGGCATTTTGCACTTCCTCTAGGATATATGAACAACTGTTTTGAACCTGCAAGTGTAATAATGGACCTAACTGTGACCATCTTAGCTATTGGTGAAAAAGTTTCGCTGTAGTCTAAGCCTTCCCTTTGACTATAGCCTTTGGCTACCAGTATTGCCTTGAATCTCTCTATCTCATCTGATGCCGTATGCTTGATCTTGAATATTCATCTGCAGCCAATATGTTTCTTTCCAAGAGGCAGATCCACAATACTCCAGGTGTGGTTATCCTCTAATGCTGCTATCTCCAGTTTCATAGCTTCTACCACAGAGGATCTTTGACTGCCTCTGAGAATGTTTGAGGCTCAGTGCATGCAGAGTAAGCTGATAAGACTTGACTGTAGGATGGAGATATATTTGAGTAGGTTACATGAGCTAATATTGGATAGGCACATTTGGACCTTCTTGATTGAACCATATAGTCCTGTAACCACATAGGAGGTCTACTGGTTCTAGAAGACTTTCTAAGTTCATGTGAACTCAGAGGATCAACTATAGGATCTTCACTTGTAGTTGAAATTTCAGTTGTGTTTGGAATATGACAATGATCATCTTCATTGTCATATACTAAGGTTGCTGAAGAAGACTGTATCATACTTTGAAGAGCTGTGAGAGGATGAACTGAGTTGTTAATAACATCATGAACAAACTCCAGCAAGGAAACAAATGATTAGTGATTTTCTTGATGTGTTTGAAAGGATATATTTCTTCCTGAAATGTAACATTCCTGTTGACTAGGAAGGTTTTTGAGGAAAGATCATATAGAATATATCCCTTTTGAGTGGATGAATATCCATGAGAACAATTGGTATTGCTCTAGATGAAAACTTGTCATGCACTTTAGGATTGGATGCATAACACAAGCACCCAAAGACTCTTAAGTGATGCAATGAGGAAAGATGTAAATAAAGCATCTCAAAAGAAGTCTTGTACCTAATTACCTTGGATGGAAGTCAATTGATGAGATAGACAGCTGTAGTGACACAGTTTTCCCAGAATCTTAGAGGAATAGAGGCTTGAAATATGAGAGACCTTGCCATATCCAGAATTGTTCTATGCTTTCGTTCTACAACTCCATTTTATTGTAGAGTGTATACATAGGAACTTTGATGCATGATCCCAAGAGTAGTTAGCAAGAATGTAAATTCATTGCTAAAGAATTCACTTCCATTGTCAGTTCTCAAGTACTTTACATTAGTAGAGAACAAATTCTTTGCTTTTACTAGAAATCTCTCAGCACTACTACAACTTCAGATTTAGAGTTAATAAGAAATATCCAAGTATATCTAGAATAGTCATCAACTACAGTGACAAAGAATCTTTTTCCATCATAGGTTGGCACCCTATAGGGTCCCCAAATATCACAATGCACTAATTCAAATATAGACTTGGTAGTTGAATTACTCAGAGGAAATGACAGTTTTGATTGCTTAGCCAAAGGACATACATGACAATGTTCATGAGAGCCGTCTTTCACATCACTGATTACATTGAGCCTTTTTATTATATTTACAGGAGCATGTCCTAACCTCTAGTGCCACGGACTACTGGATGAGAAGAAGCTAGAATTTGCAATAGTACTAGAACTAGACTTAGGCTTAGAACTAGAAGATACATCAACTGTGCTGAGACATCTTCCTTCAGACAGTGTTGAGGAGTTTTGAAGACCTTCTTGTCGAGCCCCCCTTTTCCCTCTCCTTTTCGAGACGGGGAAGAGATCCGGGTTTCGATATTCACGAGGTGTAATGACTCATTTTCTTTTGGGAATTGGGTATTTGAAGAGTCGCCACCTAACGGTTTATGGTGCGTTAGGTAACCTAGAGTGATTAACTCTTGGGTTGGTTTGCATTACCAGAGATTAGGGTAAGGGCTCGAAGTAACCTCGAGGGGAAGGTGTTAGGCACCCCTCTTGGTCCACAACTGTGGGTCCCGACCAAACTTATATTCACAAATTAGTCCATTACAAGTAAGCAGTTGAATCAAATATGTTGCAAGTAAAGCACGTTGGATAATTCAAGTAGTAAGATAAAGGTTTGAACAAGTTGCAAAACAAAGGTTTAAATAAAGAAAGGATTTGGTAAAGAGGGGTCTGAGGTTGGTTATCCTATAGGATCACCCCATGCAATGTCCAGTAAACACTCCTCAATGAGGGGCTACATGTGACATTAATGTGTAGTCATCATATCCAATGTCCACCCTTCCCATCCCCTTATTGGTCATACAAAGCGAGTGTTCGGTCAATGATTCCTATTGCGTGCTGCTACCAGTCCCTTCCTAATGGTCCTGGAGGGAGTTAAGGCCTCTACCTATAGGTGATTCTAGACGTACCCCTAAGGTTTTAAAAGGCGAAAATTCTAAGGCGATAATAAAAAACATTTAGGACTTTCACACATAATGGGAGCAATTAAGAGGCTTAGAGTTTCCTCTTCAAACAAACACATAAGCAGCACACTCAAGCACAATTAAGGTCTTTTATTAGACAATGTTCCAAAGCAGGATATCTAAGTGAATATGTAGAAAACAGATAACCCTTTTCTTAGACTCAGGAGTTACACCCTAGTAGTTGCCTAGGGACTCTTTTAAAAACCTGTTAGGATCAGAAAATGTTAAGCAATGGAGACAGTTTCAAAGAATGCAGTTTTGAAAACTCCCTAAAGGCTTGCCTATACGCAGAAGTACTGATGTCTATATTAATGCAGAAACAAACAGATTTTGAAATAGACTCCTTTAATACCTCTAGGCATGATTTCTGACGAGATTGAGGCAGTTTGAAGGAAATTGTTTTAGGAAATACTTTATACTTAATAAAACCAATTCAGAAATGAACTAGGCGTGATTAAGTCAATTTATTAGACTAGATTAGACCGACAAGCAGAATTTCGAGTAGGGCTCCCTATAGGCATGATATCTAGGCGTATTACTGATTGTTAACGATTTGCAGGTATAGAAACATACATAAATACTCGTTGTAACTGAAATTGGATCAGGTTCTGTAGGCATGGCGTCTATTATTAAACTGATTTTAAGACATGATTGTTTGGAACTTATAAGCATGATTTCTAAACATGACTGAATGTAAAACC